AAGTTTGAGCCTGGTGTGTTGACAGAGGTCTTTGATTTCCTAAAATTGAAGGCAGATAGATTGACTGACCTTGAAAGGGAGTGTGTGTTGACCTTGGATGAAATGGCAATCACACCAAGTGTGGAGTTGGACATGGCAACAGGCAAACTGTACGGTGATGTGACTTTACCAGGTCACACAGGAGTGGCAACACATGCTTGTGTGTTTATGTTGGCTGGAAACACAACACGATGGAAGCAAGTAGTGGCATATCATTACACTGGCAATTCTACCAATGGAGCAGAGTACAGGCCAATCATTATTGAGGTAATACAGAGGGCAGCATCCATAGGGCTACATGTGCTTGATGTCACCACAGACATGGGTAGCCCTAACCGAGCCATGTGGAAATCCTTTGGGGTCGACGAAAATAAAACATCGGTGCCACATCCAGCAACACCAGACAGGCAGCTTTATTTCATGCCCGATGTCCCACATCTGGTAAAAAATCTAAAAAGTGCCTGGTCTTCATAATTCCTGAGGATGTTGTAAACAGAGAGAACCTCCCCTCTAACGAGGTTTCAGTGGTCCCCATTAAGGACTTATTGACCTTTCAAGAAGGGATGGCATTAAAAATAGCTCCCCATCTTTCAGCGGCAGCCATCGAGCCAAGTCACTTTGATAAGATGAAGGTTGGTCTTGCTCTAAATGTATTCAGTAAGGCTACAAGTGCTGGGCTGAAATACATGGTGCAGCAAGAAAACCGCCCTCTGTCCTACCTGACGACAGCGTGGTTCCTGGAGCAGGTTGATCGTTGGTTTGATCTCATGTCATCTCGCCATCCAATTACAGCCCTGAGCAGGCTCAAGATGGAGGAGTACCAAAAGGCCATCACCTTCCTCCAGAACATCGTCCATCTGTTTCGTGGGATGAAGATTGGTCAAAAGGGAGGTTGGAAGCCTGTTCAAACAGGGGTGATAATGGCAACAACATCAATTTTGGCCATACAGGAGGCTATGCTAACACGAGGACACAGGTTTGTGTTAACGTCAAGGTTCACACAAGACTGCCTTGAAAATACCTTCAGCTGTGTGAGGTCTAAGAATCCTGTCCCAACTCCAGTGGAATTCCATCATGCACTGAGAATCATATCTGTGGGGCAGTTCCTCACCACCATCAGCTCTGGGAGCTATCAGGAAGAGCACAGTAGCTTTTTGGCAGACTTCCTGGACACAGTGGAGCAAAATATCACTCCATCAGTCAGAGTGGAACCGCTGATGGCGGTGAACAGAGCAGCACCTCACCTCACAAAAACTGAGAAATGTATTCTCTTCCATCTTGCAGGCTATATCGTCCACAAAGTCATGAAGTTTGCCAGCATCTGTGAAAAATGCAAAATTGCAACAGAGCACAATGATGAGAGTCCTTCTGGTGAAAACAGCATTTTAGTGAATTTAAAAGACTTCAAGGCAGGTGCTCTTTGTCGTCCCTCCCAAGAAGCCTTTGATTTCATTCACCAATTTGAGGAACTATTTAGGACCAAGACTGGTTCGTCCCTCATGCAGCTCCCCAACGCAGTGGGTGTCTTGGAGAAAGAAGCTCAGGCACTCTCCAGCAGGCTTCCGTCATGCTGTGGAGTACAAGACAAAATCATTAGAAGATTCATACGGCTGAGGCTGAGAATCGAGGCAAAACAAATCCGAAATGACAGGGAAAAAAAACCCTTAAAAGATGGCCATCTTGGAAGCAAGAGCCAATGCAAAAAGGTGAAGAGGAACAACAGCTGCCAAGATTCAACATCCAGCAACCCCCAAAAAAATCCACAGCTGCTATCAAACCCATTAGTCGTTGCAATGGAAATATTTGGACTAACCATTGCCCCTCCACCTGCCAGCACCACTGCTCCTCCACCTGCCAGCACCACTGCTCCTCCACCTGCCAGCACCCAGCCAACATCCCTGCTCCTCCACCTGTAACATCACTGCCCCTCCACCTGCCATACAGTAGGTTACTAATATACACTAACAAGATTACTTATATAATACAGTCAGTGGCGGCCGGTGGTCTTTTTTTTTGGTGGGGCTCTTGACGTACCGTAAGTGACCTACCCGGGGGGTCCGAGAAATGACCCCTTAAATGATGACTTCTGGTGATGTTAGAGGGGGGGGGAAAGGAGAAATCGAGGCTTAAAAATATGAGAAGACTGATCAATACCTCCATAATCTTCAGTGTGGAAAATATTATTTATCAACCTGAACATCTACTACTTTACCAGGAATTTGTGTTCTCAGAACTGGTCTGTTTTTTTCTTTCTTAAAACACCTTCACCAAGTAGCTTGCAGTGAACTGCATGTGAGATATAAAATTAATAGCATCTTTTCAGTAGCATTAATTATAAATATTTAAGTGGTTCAATACAAGTCACTACAGCATTTCAAACTGAACTGTGAATAAATGCAATTTAAAAAAAATAACCACAGCACAAAATGTCATAAATTGTGTTTTTTCTTTGTTTCTCTGAGGATTATTTACAAACAGGCTTATTTACATATAGCAATAACTCAGAAATGAAAAAGCTACATCGTCTAACACGAACAACCAGTTAGCATAATGATAATATATGTGTTATGTACAATGTAACTGGCAAGGCTAGAGCAAGAAAGAACATAAAGTTTGCAAAAGGTTTAAATAACTTCAAGTATCTGTCTTCAGATTACGTGGAGGTTTTAGTCCGATGGGAAGCAGATTTTAAGCGACACCGAAGATAAACCAAAAATGTGGTGGAGCTGCAAACCGTGTAGTGTTGCTGGGACAGAACAGGAGCTATAACCGTTGGAAAATACATCACAGACAATGCAACAAACGTGGAGACAGAACAATCACTTCTGTGATAAATGCCCACTTATTAATAAACTTCTAACAACCATGGGAAACCTCCTCTCTACATATAAAGTGATATCCAAGCATGGGAAACAAAAGACAGCATTTACCTGTTTGCATCCAGCTAGCCAAGCCTTTCTTGTGTACCAGCTACTTGTGAAGCCTCGTGTATAAATGTTGTCTTTTTCACGAGATTGCTGCGATATATTCAAATCGGGTTGGTCCGGTGCAAGGTCTTTAAGCAACAATTTATCTGCCAAACTTCTCCTTTCGAAAGGATTGGAGATTAGCTCTTGAACAGAATTAGGCGCGGACCGAGGTCCGGAGACTCCACCTGCACACGAAGCCATCCTCATCAACTACTGCGTCAACCGGATACGAGTCACTGTCCAAACTACTCACAGACTGCACTGGGCGCTGACATTGGCGCCCGGTGACCGTCATCTTTGACGACGCTGATTGGCTGAAATTATATTTTCGCGGCATAGTTTACACGTTACAGATAGCAACAGTCAGCTGCTGGTGGCTGCTGCTGCACTGGTTGAAGGCTCCTCTCTTAGCGCCCAGACGAGAGAAGGTGCATGGGCAAGGCCAGGCAGGAAACATGTGATTTATCAGTAACTTTAGACATCGTAACACAATTTTAAACGAGATTTTATTGTAGATTATACATTTTACTGATACCAATTATATAATATTTACCTTGTTCATTAAAAATAAAAATAAAAACATATATATTTTTTTAAACATATTTTTTTTTTTTTATTTTAATTTTAATTATTATTTATTTTTATTTTTTTCAATATGGGAAGAGGTGGGGCGGCGCCCCTAGCGCCCCTATGGACCGGCCGCCACTGAATACAGTGATAGAATACATGTTTAGTATGCTTACTTATATACAACAGTAGTATTAAACTTACCTTGTGTTTTCACTCTCACTTTGCCATCATTTCAAAATCAGCTGAGCTGCAACATAATACAGACAGGTAATAATCAACAGAATACACTAAAAACACTCACCCATAAATTACGTTTTTGTTTACTGTTTGGAAGTCTCAAATATGCACTCTAAATTAATATCAAATAGCTCTCTTCCTTATTATTGTGTAACGTTAACTTTATTATACTAGCTTGTAGGCCTACTCCAAAATGGAGATCGTAATTTCTCCACCTCCACTCATTACAATCACACGTGCCCCAATGTTATATTTAACTAATATTATATTCCTCCACCCCACAAAAATAATCACGTTTAGAAGCCCTTTTTCTCTAATTCCACAACGTTGGATTGAAATAACATTAGGAGAAATGATTAATAGCTGTTCATGGTTAACGTGTGTTGCTAACTTTATCCGGTATCCTAGCCTAATATGTTATCTGTAAACGTTCCCTAAATCAGTAGATTATGGGATAATCCACTAACATCCTTTAATACACATGTTAATTTGACTCAGATGTGCTAATAATATCCGCAATATAAATCTTTAAACGTCTTCTTACCTTTAAAAGTCCATCACGAACGCTGCAACTCTACTGCGCTGCTAGCCACAGATCGTGGAGCCTCTCGAGTCAATAGTCCCCCGGAAGTCAGCGGCAAGCTAACTTCCGGGGAACTATTAACGGCTGCACGATCTGCCATTGCTGTAAAAAAACTGGTCCATTGGAGTGAACGGAGATGTCGTAACTCTTCTATTATACGGCTCTGGGTAGGCCATCCAGTTACTTTAGCCGGGCCGGCTCAGATGATTGGTCGTGCTTTTTACAGTACTACAGCTTCCACAGATGACATTTTTTAATGGATTTTTTGTCAAAGCACTTCAGATATTCATTGCTATCGGGATGTTAAGAGCATTCCATGGAATATAACAAAAAGTGTATCTCGAGCCGGTTTCTCAAACTTACCTACCCCACCTTTAAAGTCATTTTTCCCCCTGGAAAAAGCTGGCCCACCCTATTTTATACAGGCCCGCCCTAAAGTACATTTCTGCACTGGTGTGAGGAGGAGTGTGAGGGGTGTGTGTGACGAGTGTGTGCGTAATAACCTTTATATATACAGTCTATGGTAATAACTCCCTTTTTTTCGAGGGAAGGGGTGGGGGTCAGAGGGCCTAGGTATAAAAGTCACGGCTCGCGAGGTGAGGACTGTGTGCAGTTTAATCCTCAGAGGACTCCAGCATGATGAAGCAGCTTCCTCTTCTTCCTCTTCTTCTTCTCTTCAGTCTCCTGACTGGAAACTCGTCTGCCTGCACAAACGGTGAGAACACTTACACTCTTATTCACACAACATTATGTAATTTATGTAATTTAATTACATCTAATTTGTTGTTCATGTGGAAATGTAGAACAATATCTAAAGTAATGCGTCATCAGTAGAAAGCCAATAAGGAAAAGGAGCGCCCATTGCAACATGATTATAACCTGATCAATATAATAAACAAGATATCTAAAGGTCTCTTCTTATCAGTCTAAGCCATAATCATCATCTTATTGTAATAGGCCTTTTATTGCTAGTGCTCTCATAAAAACACCATTAAGGGATGTCTTTACACAAAAACATGTATGGATCTTTATAAAATAAATAAAGTATTCAGCTGAGATTCAGTGTTCTTGTCCTCAAATAGGATTCAATGTAATAACTTCTGGTAAAATGGGAGAGAGGAACAAAATCATATATATATGACATGGATGGACGAGAGTGAAAATGGTGTTTCTGAGTGTGTGTGTGTGTGTGTGTGTGTGTGTGTGTGTGTGTGTGTGTGTGTGTGTGTGTGTGTGTGTGTTCAGCCTCTGCAGGTGAACACACTGAGTAACACATGTTTCTATCTTCCAGCTGTCAGCAAAGTGATCTCCACAGAAGGGACAGATGTTATTTTACCCTGCTCCCCCAGCACCAGAGAAAACCTCCTAAAGAAACTGTTTGACTGGAAGAAGGTCGGTCAGGGAGGAGAAACTCTGCACGAAGTCTTCATGTACGATTCTGGTGTTCAATATGATGGTCATTCAGGTCAGAGTGAGCAGTTTACAGGACGAGTCTCACATTTTCAAAATGAACTGAAGCACGGAAACGCCTCCATCATCATCAGGAAGACGAAGGTGATAGACAGTGGAAGTTACACCTGCTATTTTCCACGTCTACAGCCTCGTGAAGAATTCTGCATTGAGCTCATTGTTGGTGAGTATTCTCATAAAACAGTATATAAGCCTTCTTATATACAGATATACACAAGTCTCATGTGCATTACACCTGCAGCATTAACTTTCCTGTGAGACAATGTTCATCTGCTCTGTCTTCAAATAAACAGACACACTGTTGGATAACCATCAGTAATATTAGTGAAAAATGTTCTCATGGTCCAGCAGACCCTGTTTCTGTAAGGACTGACACAAACAAGCTAAATCTGAGACTGGTGTTTCTTTTCAAGTTTAATATTGAACATATATTTGTTGTATAACACGTTTCTGAGGACAGCTGATAATATCATCCAAGAAATGTAACAAACTCCTGTTTTTTGCCTTTCAGATCCTATCTTAACTGTCAGAACAATCCCAGGTGAGTCTGGATTTTTACGACGTCACTCTCTACCTCTCAGGTCTGATATTCAAAGCAACTTCATTCATCACTGTGTTGAACAAATGGAGTTCATTCCTGTTTGCAAAATTGTAATAATGTAAACTATAATTCTTTAGAGTTGAAAATATATACCTGTATGTGTCTTTGGTTTTTAATCAAAAGTGACACTATTTATTATTTGGCTTTACAATACTGTGTTTTTATAGTGTAGTTTACCCTATTTTCATTTGCTAATCAATATATTAGTACAAAAAACATTGTTATTGAATATAGAAAACTGCAGTAATACAGATGATTGTGATACTTGTAGATTTTACATGATTATACATTTTCCAGAATCATTCATAATCCATTTTGACACCTTCGTATTTTAGCATATTTTTTTAACATCCTAATTTGCAGAAATTATAAACTTTGTTTAATGTGTATTTAAAACTATTTTTTCTATTAACTAATTTCCTGGGAACAGTATATGACCTAATATGATAAATAAACCAAATTACACTGCCATCTTCCATAATCAAAACAATACCATAAAAATATGAACAGAACTCACAATCAGCTCCTTCAGACTCTCCAAATCAGCAAACATTTGGGAGAAAAAAGTAAAAAATAAGGTGTTTTAAATGTCATATTCCATCCAAAAATGTGATGAACAAAGTCTTATTCTGTGCTTTTCTTTTTTTTTGTAGACAAACTGTACTCCACATTTGCAAACTAGTTTAAACATCCTGATCCTAGACACATCTGTTTCATTTTATACCTTATTTTTGGATTTCCTTTTAAGGTGCAGTCAAATATTAAACTGCTCATAAGCTGCTTTGTGAGTAGCAGGATTTTGATTGGTGTGTGATTTTCTTTTTTAATCTTTTTTGTTTGTGTGTATGTTCCCAGGTGCATCACCAAAGCCAACTATTAGAACACTTGATCAAACAAACTCCTGGGCACGGCTGCAGTGTGAAGTTCATGGAGCTCATCCAGAACCTAAAGTGGAGTGGAGGGACAGTTCTGGAAACATCCTTCCTGCTGAGGAGCCTCAGGTTTTAAAGAACGGAGAAAGCTACGACGTCACTGTTAACGTCACTGTGACTAAAACAGACCGCTATCGCTGTGTAGCTACACAGGAGGAGATCTACCATCAGATTTCTGCTGAAAACCTTCTGCATATCAGTGGTGAGATTCTGCCTAGACATATTTAGTTATTCATATAATTGTAAATGTTGAGAGGGCCAAACTTCTCCATCATGAACATTGAGAAGTTTTGTGTAGCATGAAACATAATAATAAGGAAGAAAGAAGAAGATCCACTTTATTAATCCCCAACGGAGAAATTACTTTTTCCCCTCACACACGAATATACTTGAGCACACAAAAAATTGGCACCTCTCCAGGTACCAGTTCACACTCCATATTTGGTTTGATCGGGACGTGAACCTGCGACCCTTTGGTAAAGAAAATATATAAATATTCCACATCATGTCTACTAAAACTAAATGTAGTGCCCACATGTGTTTTCTTCACCTCTTCACTGTCACACAGGGTTTGTTGACTTCATGATAACATTACATGGTTATTATTACGATCACAGTTAAAGGTGCTGGACTGCATCACTCTGAGAGAAGTTCTACACTTCTATATAAGTCACAGTCCAGTACCACACACTGACCTGAATGATATACATAATGTTTAACAAGAGCATCATCTCTAGACTGAGAAATGTGTGATAAACTCAACCTGGAATATAAGACACACATATATGACTATATCAACTATACTATTAATGTTAAGATCAAAAGTTTTAGCGTAACAAATGAAGCGTAAACATGTAAAGAACGTCTTCTCTGTAAATGTGCTTCTGTCAGAATAATGTTTGCAGATTTACTAATGCTCTAATCTTTAACAGAGTATATGTACATCAGTCATGTGTTAATGTGTTACATTGTGTACTAGGTAGTATGTATGATTCCTATCTCCTGCTGACCTGCAGGATGGAGTCAGATCAAACGTCCTTACAGGGACAATCACGTTTATCGTATCTTAAATCTGCGTTCACGATATACGGTAAACAGCTCTGTGCAGACGTTGTGTTTCTGTTGTCGAGCTCTGCGCTCAATATTTAAATTATTTCAACTTTGACCTTGTTTACCGCTGACCTTTCTACGCACATCCAATCAGAACAGCCGTGCTAAGAGGCACAAGCTAGCAGAGGAGGAAACTCAGAAACTGAACTTAACTGTTTTCACCACAAGGCTCTGCGGACAACCTGGCAATTAGAAAAGAGCAAATCATGTGAATGCAGATTAATAGTTACCAAACTTTAGGTAGACTTGCTTGAAATATCAGATAATGATGGGATGGGAAACTGTGATTTATATTGTGAGGGCTTCCTGGGTTTTCTTATTTCATCTTAAACATGATCTAATAACCATTTCCAAGACAATAAATGAGCAAAAGATATCAAAATATTTCATTTATAAAGCTGTTTATCATCTATTGTTTTCTATGATGTTCCCAGGTACAGCTACAGAGCCGTCTGTCCTCATTCTTTATCAAACAAAGGACTGGTCTCTGTTAGGGTGTTTAGTTCTTGGAGCTTTCCCTAAACCTCTCCTCCAGTGGACGGACAGTTCTGGAAACATGGTCCCTGCTGCAGAGCCTCAGGTCTCAGAGAGAGGAGGCAGCTACGACGTGATCCTCCAGACTACTGTGAAAGAATAAGAATTAAGAATATTTAAATGTGTCTTCAGACTGAACACAAAGTGAATTTCCTCTCAGCACCAGACGTTGTGATGAAGACCTCTGCAGGAGTTAAAAAGGTTTCAATCTGAGTGGAAACTTGAATCTGAAACTCTGAGCTTCCTCTTCATCAATGTGCAGAGATGAGAGGAAGACTGAGAGAGGCTGAGAAAATAAAGAGCTGCAGTTTGTAGTAACATAGTAGACATCAGAGAGCTTGTGTTTGAGTCATGAATCAGATACAAACACCACGAGGATCACATCAGGCTCTAACCATCCATCAGTTTCAGATGGTTGGAGAAAAACATTATGAATAAATGGTATGTATTTTGTTTCCAGTGTTCCCTCTTTTATTTTCCAATCACTCTGACATGTTTTCTTTTGTATTTTAGGAGAAGAACCAGAGAAGAGCTCAGGTTAGTCCTGATTTTAACTAATCTAATATTTAACTGAAAGCTAAGAAAATAATAATTGCGTGTGTTTCCCTCTGTAGAACATCAGGATGTGAATCTGCTCTTCGCTGAGCTGCAGTCAGGGAGGAGGACGTTCTGTAGTTCAGGAGGAGGAGCAGAACCACACTGCAGCTCTTTTCATTTCTTCTGGCTGTTGCAGCTTGTTCTGGTGCCATGGTTTAACCTCCTGTTTACAATGATGTATCCACGTTAATACTCACATCACAGTAGTGGAAAGATATACTCATTACATTGCTGACTTTCTGGATATTCTGTTAATATTTGCACCACTTTTGGAAGAAAACTTGAACTTCACTCTGCCTTCGAGTGTTGACGTTAAAAACAACAGTTGTTGTGGAAATTAGTTTATTTTAGGCATTTACTATTACTACTAAACTATTAATACGTACTATCTATACATTCATCATACTGTTGTTGTCCTGGACCAATATAGTGAGATAAATTAATTGAATACCACATTTTTTGTATTGTGGTCCTCGGCTCCTCCTGTCCTTCAGAGAGTGAAGGATGAATGAGGGACATTCTAACAGCTCCATAGTTGTAGTCCTTTAACAGCTCCATAGTTGTAGTCCTTTGACAGCTCCATAGTTGTAGTCCTTTAACAGCTCCATAGTTGTAGTCCTTTAACAGCTCCATAGTTGTAGTCCTTTGACAGCTCCATAGTTGTAGTCCTCTAACAGCTCCATAGTTGTAGTCCTTTAACAGCTCCATAGTTGTAGTCCTTTGACAGCTCCATAGTTGTAGTCCTTTAACAGCTCCATAGTTGTAGTCCTTTAACAGCTCCATAGTTGTAGTCCTTTAACAGCTCCATAGTTGTAGTCCTTTAACAGCTCCATAGTTGTAGTCCTTTAACAGCTCCATAGTTGTAGTCCTTTAACAGCTCCATAGTTGTAGTCCTTTAACAGCTCCATAGTTGTAGTCCTCTAACAGCTCCATAGTTGTAGTCCTCTAACAGCTCCATAGTTGTAGTCCTTTAACAGCTCCATAGTTGTAGTCCTTTAACAGCTCCATAGTTGTAGTCCTTTAACAGCTCCATAGTTGTAGTCCTTTAACAGCTCCATAGTTGTAGTCCTTTAACAGCTCCATAGTTGTAGTCCTTTAACAGCTCCATAGTTGTAGTCCTTTAACAGCTCCATAGTTGTAGTCCTCTAACAGCTCCATAGTTGTAGTCCTTTAACAGCTCCATAGTTGTAGTCCTTTAACAGCTCCATAGTTGTAGTCCTTTAACAGCTCCATAGTTGTAGTCCTTTGACAGCTCCATAGTTGTAGTCCTTTAATAGCTCCATCGTTGTAGTCCTTTAACAGCTCCATAGTTGTAGTCCTCTAACAGCTCCATAGTTGTAGTCCTTTAACAGCTCCATAGTTGTAGTCCTTTAACAGCTCCATAGTTGTAATCCTTTGACAGCTCCATCGTTGTAGTCCTTTAACAGCTCCATAGTTGTAGTCCTTTAACAGCTCCATAGTTGTAGTCCTTTGACAGCTCCATAGTTGTAGTCCTTTAACAGTTCCATAGTTGTAGTCCTTTAACAGCTCCATAGTTGTAGTCCTCTAACAGCTCCATAGTTGTAGTCCTCTAACAGCTCCATAGTTGTAGTCCTCTAACAGCTCCATAGTTGTAGTCCTTTGACAGCTCCATAGTTGTAGTCCTTTAACAGCTCCATAGTTGTAGTCCTTTAGCAGCTCCAGTTGTAGTCCTCTAACAGCTCCATAGTTGTAGTCCTTTAACAGCTCCATAGTTGTAGTCCTTTGACAGCTCCATAGTTGTAGTCCTTTAACAGCTCCATAGTTGTAGTCCTTTAACAGATGCTCTCCTGCTGCTTGTAGTTCTTAAAGGATGTAGAGACAGCATCAACAGAAACTCTCTCTGATCTGAAGCTGCTGTAAAGAAATGTACTCTGGAGCTGGAATATAATGTGACTTATTTTATATATTTTTATATATTTTTATTGACATTGGTTGTTACGAGCTTGTTGTTTGTGATGTTGTTAAAGTGCTAATCCAAAGTGTATCATCTGAATGATGACCTGCTGTTACTGTGAGGCTTGAACTGTTTTTATCTGAAAGCTCCTTTATGATGTTCTCTGATGATCTGCAGGGTTTCTATGCTGTCATTTAAACTGTACCATTTATATCCAAATGTTTGAATAAAACATGAAACAAGTCAATCTGTGTGTTTGGACTGATATTTAATTATATATTTTCATATTTGTTGCATAGATGCACTTTAATGAAAGTTTTTATACTCGTTTTGATTATCATTTGAGAGCATTTTACGACTAAATAAGTTGGTAGAGAGTGACAGAAAACTTAAGAGAGGTGAAACACACTGTAAACAGGTTGTTTAACAGATACTGCATAATAAATAATAATAAAGGGTATTTATATTTGTATTTATATAGCTCTTAAGATACAAGAGACTAAGCAAAGAGCTCACAGAAACACACTTAAACAAATAATTAATACAGTTATAAAAAAGATAATGAATATATAGACTCAGTGAAAGTAGATAAAGATAATACATTAAGAGAGATATCATTGAGAATACTTAAATTGAAGAAAAGTCCAAATTAAATTAAAAAGGGACATTATTTATCAAGCATTCATTTTTGTAATTCAGGTTTTCCCCTCACATGACTTCACATACCAAATATTTGTTTTACAATAGTTTAAGATATATTAGTACAGGGTTTAATCCTGATTTCACATTAACATCAGTACACTTTCTAAATGTAGTGTACATGTTTTAGTGGGAATGCTGTGTCAACACTATCTGTTATGCTACGCACGAAATTCTTTACTATTCCGCCCGTTATTTTGCCGGTCTTCTTCTCCCACTTTGAACATCGCAGAAACTCTGTTCAAACATCAAAACGTTCAGCTCGGTCAGGAATCGATGGCTATTACTTTTATCATTCATAACTTTCATAATTCCAGAGATACATCCCATAATTCACACATTTTTAACATGGAAGTCAATGGAGAAACTCTTCAGACTTCAACAATCTTCATCGTAAAAGTACACCATTTACCTCTGAACTGTAGAGGAGAAGAAGAACAAAGTAGCAAAACATTGAAATACTTAAAGTGGACCTATCATGCTATATTTGAATAATATAGTGGAGGACCATACCTATATAAGGCATATTTATACTTGCATTTTAGCCATGCCTCATTTTGCTCAATTTGACATTTTTTAGCTCTGTTTGTGTAAGGGCAGATAAGGGCAGAACAGCACCATCTACTGGCCTGGCATATGTACTACAGCGTCTCCAGCGCTTTCGAACGGCAATGGCCGTGGCTGTCTCCTCCTGATTGGTGGAGTTGGCCCAATAGCCGTAGCGCCACCGTCCTGACGTCAGGACAGTGTTCAAATCTGGATCAGTTTTTATCAGATCCGTTGCAGCCCCGTTTTTAGAGATTTGTGTATGGAGGAAAATAGAGAGGGTTGTGTTTTCTGACACTTGGTGAGTTCCCTGGAACACCGGGGACACATATTCATGTCTAAAAAGACGTACAAAAGTGCATTTTGCATGATAGGTCCCCTTTAAATAAAGTACAAGTATCTCAAAATTGTACCCAAGTATAGTACTTGAGTTTATGAACTTAGTTACTTTACACCACTGGCTATAAAGATAGAAAGACTAAGCCTTGCACAGAGGCATGAAAATACATTTTCAAAATGCTCAACAGTGCTGCCAAAGTTATAAACTGACTGCTACACAATTAAAATAAATGCTTTTATATATTTCTATCTTTGGCGTTTCTGTTATTATTAACTGCTTTAGTTGTTCTGACTTCTAAAATCCTCTGTTATTCCTAATTTTAAACCTTTTTCATACCTGATGAGTTTGCATCCCTGTTCATGCAACTACAACTGCTAACTGCCCCCCCCTCCCTGTGAGCCCAGTGGCCGTCTGCGAGACAGCGAGACACAGCGAAACCCAGCCCGAAACCAGCCCGAGCACACACACACACCCACAGCCTGGCTGGGAGTTTGTGTGTGTGCTCACACACAGACTCACAGCCTCGCCGCTTCCCGCCGTCTCAGGCGGAGAAATCGCCGGAGCTGCAGCTGAGAAAAGATTGAGTGTGTGTGTGTAACGTAACGGCTCCGGGGACGTTACGTTATGTCACTATACCCAAATACGTCACTATACCCAAGAAGAAAACAATGGAAAAAGAGAAATCTCCAACGAGGCGTTCTGGGGCAGCATAGACAGGTCTTTTCTGTGTTAGAGTTTTACTCGCTACAGGGTGTACTTTGAGGGTTTGTGACTCTGCAGACCGTTTACATGCAGAAAAACCTTCATAACACACAAGGGGACGGGTAATAACCAGAAAAGCATGACATGGGACCTTTAAAATGCTGTACACGTTGTCTAAGTTTTCTAAAATATGGCCACAGTAGTAAAATGTATAGCTTCCTGCTGGTCTGTTTCTCCAAAATGCATCTAGTGGAGAAGAACCTCAGACAAACCTACAGTACCTAAAAACATCCAAACTATACCT